ATCTTGCCTTGGCTCTTGTACAGAATGCCGAGATTGTCGACCGTGCCCAGCGTCGACGTGTGCTCCGCGCCCCATGCCTTCTCAAACCCGCCTAGCGCCCGCAAGTACATCTCCTCCGCCTCCGCTAGCTTGCCTTGGCTCTTGTACAGAATGCCGAGATTGTTGACCGTGTCCAGCGTCGACGTGTGCTCCGCGCCCCATGCCTTCTCGTACCCGCGTAGCGCCCATATGTACAGGTTCTCGACCTCTTGAGACTTTTCCCAATTCTCTAGAAAGTAGGCGATCCGATAACACTCTAGAGCTTGTTCCGCTTCATCTAATCGATAAATTGCTATTCGCGCCCCGATCACCTTCGCATATGCAGCCAACCGAAGTCCGAGGTCTTTTCCGACTTCTTGGCCTACTGATTTCGCCATCCTTGCCACAAGTCTCAACGCCGCTGTCATAAACTGTTGTGCTGTACATCTGTCCAAGCTGTGTAGACGCTACGTATGCACTACCGGATGTATAGTAGGCGATCGGTCCGCTGTGCCCCGGTGCACCATAGAGTATTGCACGAGAGTTCCGATCGAGTGCTGCAGGGAGAGCTTCGTCGCCCGCCCGAAGACTGTATCTTCGCTCCGGCTGTGCTGTACCTCGTCGCTCTGCCCGGCCAGTACTAGCTCCGCCCATACGTCGCCATGATGGAGGAATGCCCACAGGTCAAGCAGCTGCGCTGCCAGTGGATCTATACTTTTCACCTGTTCGTACGAGATCGTCCACGTCGTAAGCACGCTCCGTTCGCCGTAATCCTGCAGTGGGAGCTGATCTTGATTCTGCATCAACGCCGTCCACGTCGCGTCGTAATGCTCGAGATAGTCTGCGACACTCATCCCGGTCGCGCCTAGATAGGCCCCTGCTTGGGCGAGGGCAAGCGGGAGACCGCCGAGCTTGGGCAGGAGTTGCTCGATGTCTGTTTTTGTTTCTGTATGTCAGCAATTGTATTCGCCTTGCGGTGGTATCACACGCACGTACTCGTGACCGCTTTGTTTGCGCGTGTCTCGACCATCTCTGTCGCTAGCTGATCGTTAGCGACATCTAAATGAAGGCTGGCCTTTAGTAGCTGCAGCCGCTGAAGACGTGTCGTGATCAAGATGTTCCCGTGGTCGGCGTGCGGTAAGAATTCACGATAGTCGTATGCCTGGTCGTCCTTTGTTCTGCCTTGCCAGTCGCGGTCGATGTTGTCGATCACCATTAGCTAGTTCGTGTTGCCCGGCTGCGACAGCCATTGCCGCACGTCGTCGCCGGCCTGTGCGACGTCCATCGGCGCCGGCACTTCTCGGGTGCGCTTCAACAGCCGCAGGCCTGCGCCGGCCATCGATCGTTGCAGAGCATCTTTGGACGATCCATCCAGCCAGAACACCGCGCTGAACCGCTCTGCGTTCGTCTTTGCGAACTTGGCGCACAACTGCGTCTTGCCCATCCCGCCCGTTCCGTACACTACAAATGTCCGCTGCTGCGCCGACTGTGTCGATGTCGCTGCGAAAAACTCGCTGATGCGCTGCATCTCGAGCTTGCGAGGCACGAAATGCTCCGTCGCCGGGATGCCTTGTAGGCTGAAAGGGACGGAGAACTCGCCAGGTACTGCTTCCCCTTTGCGCTTTGCAATTTTGTGTAGCAGTCGCTCTCTTGTCTTGTCCGCGCCGTCGCCGTAACGGATGTTCATGCTGACTCCCATGATACCAAGCAGACAATACGACAGATCCTCTGCCCGCATCGTCTCCCTGCCATCTGTCCATTTCATCTTCTCTCCGGCGGTCAGATTGTCGCCTGCTCGGTAATCGTGTAAAATCGCTAGTGGAATAGTAGTCGTACGCGAAATCACGTCTTCCAGCGATAGGCCAATCTGTATCGACATTCCGCTTCGCCCGCGGCCGTTATTGCCCTTGTAGCCGATCACATTCCAGTCGTTCGAGAGAAAGATCACAACGCCCGGCGCCAGCAGCTCTTGCAGCGTCCACCCGCGCCGAAACCATACGCTCTGCTCGAAGGTCGCCATATCCCTCACCGTGGGAACATCCTCCAAGTATGCTAGACACACCTCCGCGTTGCGATACCACTGGAACATCGAGTTGATCGCTTCCGACAGCTCGCGATCGGCGTGCTGCTTAATACAGCACGTGTCGACCCACAACCACTTCACCAGTGGCAGGTATGTCTTTATGTATGCTACAAACCCTTGCACCTTGCGATACCCAGATGTATCCGTCTTCTTCCTCTCGTGCACATCTTCCCACATCGCCTCGCCGCCCGCCGTCCAGCGATGCGATGCGATCGCATACGGCGGGGGTGTCGTCCCGAAGTACTCCGTGAAGCTGAACGTGTCGACGTTGAGGAGCCGCATGTTGCGAGTCTAGTTGCAATACTGCTCATCTGGAACGCGTTACTAGGAGAGAAGCAGACGTGTGACAAGATCTCATCCCTGACCTGTCGGATACTCACGATGCAGCGTCGTATCCCGGCCGCCCTCTAGTCGCCTGCAGCTGCATAGTAGCGCGGCCCACACGCGAGACCTCCCAGGATCACCCGTAACTGCTCAGGCATATTTTAACCTCTGAGATGAATCCGTCAAAGACAAGTGCACGCAGAAGATGAGCTGCTAGTGCACAGCGCGTGTAATAATGTCAAAGCAGAACACAAGGCCAAAAAGAGATGTTGTCATTACGCCGAAAGGGCTCAAAAGCTGTGTACAAAAGTGGGCTGAGCGCGCGTGAGGCGATTCCCCCGGCCATCCTTGAATAGAATGGAGAACCGTGCAATTCGGGGGTGTTACAAGCAGCGACAGGTTGCAGATCCCCGCCGTCGAGCGAACGCAGATCTAACTTAGCGAGAGCAATGATGTAAATTTCTTTGAGAAAGCGGCCGCAGGCGTGTTTGACGTGCACCTTTGTGTGGCAGTGCGGGGCGTCTGCGATTGCGCGGAATCACACAAGAACAAAGGCTAGTAAATCAGGATTTCGTATCAGCAAAGGAAGCCGCATGCGCCAAGGGGCTGCTTGCATCTGGCCCCGGTCATAGTGAATAAGGTCGCCAGGATCTCGCACAGACGTTTGAATACATCACACACCGTTAATAAGCTTGTGCACTAGTCACGGTGCTTAAGCCGGGATCGTCACAAATCGTGGTGGCTTCCACGTGGAAAGTGCATAACTCCTGCTGTAAGACGACTTGTTTGGTATGTAGTAGCTACAGGGCGTGATCATCAATGAAACATGTGTCGTCACTTCGTACAACTAGGTGATTGCATAAAAGAGTCGATTGCCGGAAACACGTCTATTCCTTGTGCTGCGATAAGGGCACACATAACCCGTTCCGCAAAGAGCAGGTGCAATCGCGCTAACAATAACTTCGTGTAACAACTCGTTCTTTGTTGCACCACAGTATCACGAGCTAACAGTTGCGCGAATCAACGATGCCTAAAGTCTACAAATTGTAGATAAATTGAATAATACGCATCGTCGCCCGGTAGTTGTTTCCACGAAACGTGCAGAAGACGAGTCTAAATCACAACATTACCCTCCAAAACGCTCGGATCAAACTAGTCAATATTGCACTCACTAAGTTATAAGGGGGAGGCTTTCTCTACAATCTTATCCGAAATGGAGGTGTTTAGCCAAAGCCTCAGCATAGCGGCGAGCATTCTGACTATCGTCGCAGCCCTAATCGCGCTCGCTAAAGAAATTGTCTAGCGCCGAGACCTAAGCTATTAGTATGTTGTAAAGCAGCTGTGTAGCGACAATGAGCTGACTAACGATACGAACAGAGGTGTCCAATAACGACTATATTTCGAAGACAATAGCACGTTCTCTCGCAAGGCGCAACAGGCGAATATAACGAATAGGACAGGCCAGCACGAGTCGAGCGTTCTAGATGGGAGAATTGAGCTTTATTGAGGCCGACCCTAAAGTCATCAACCCTAGACATTATGCGCCTTCAGTATCGCTATAATTCATGCTCCTCGACACACTACTATGATGCTATACAACATAGCACATGTAGTCTGCGGACGCGATAATAACTAATGAAATCATTTACCGGTTCTTGCCCTACTTTTATAATAGCGCCTATATCGAGAAAAGAAAATAAGCGAAGGCCAAACACGCAGAGGAACGTAGGAAATATTAAAGCTATAAATATCTGAAGTACAAGTGAAGATCTCCTAACAAGTAACGAGTTAGTAGAGCGAAGGTAGTGATCCACGACTAGCGTCTCTGCTCGTAATGTCGACAAGAGCACACGCTAAAGCCCAAGCGTAGAGATTGTGAATCCGCGGAGCATACTTTACCGACCTATCATTACCACATTCTAGCAGTTGGCACTCGATATTCCTCGTGTCTTTCAACAACCGGTTCTGTGCGTATTTCTTGTACGCTTACTAAATCGATATTAGTCTGGACTACATTCGAAGGTTCATTAATAGCATTGTGCGCTACAGCCCTAGCACTCGATCTGCGCTTTGAGATCGGTCTCGCGTCTCGAAGTGCCCATTCATCTCTCGCTCTCTCCAAATCCTCGTAGCTCATTACCCTCGCTGTTCCGATAACTTTTGGTCTCGTTGATCGCCGTACCCGAGCTTCGCTGTTAGTCTTTTGCAGGAAGTCGTTGCGCCGCTCGAGCAGTGCGTACTCGGCGAAAGAAATTTCAGCAGCTTTTGATAGTTTCTGAACATGCTTCTGTAAGCGGTGGTAGGAACCGCTGTCCAGATCTTGTACATCGCGTCGGATCACATCGCGCAAAGCTGTGATACCTGCAAGATCTACCGGAGTTACAGGTGTTATGGGTATTGTCGGTGTGGATGGAATGGTTGGTATTGACCACGTTCGTATATTAACGTCCTGCTGACCAGCCGCATCCCCGTTCCCCGATTCTGATATGACAGGAGGCGTAGCGCCGTGCGGTAGATCACGAAACACTCTTTCGGGACAGAATGGGAACAAACCTGCCTTGGACCATCCTGCGCGGATGTTCCGGGGCGTGAACGCGATCTCACGCGCATAACAATACAACATAGCGAAGTGCTCTTTGCCGATCGTTCCTACGCCGCCTCGCTCGAGCCGTTCTACCTGATCACGATATGCTCCTTTGAGTGGACCGAAGACGGAGATATCACATGGCTGCAGTTTATGGGATGTGTGGGAAGGCAGGCGGCAAAGTATGATCTGGTGCTGAAGAGCGAACTCAAGGACCTCGAGGGTTTCATGGGTGCCAAAGCCGTCACAAATCAGCACACGCGGTCGCTGTCCCGCTCGGTCTCTCGTTTGCGGATCAAACACCAGACGGAGCCACTGCAGGCTGAGATATGAGTCTGTATATCCGCTGTCGGAGTAGGCATAATGCCATCCAGGTGTAGGATGAGTCACCCAGTTCGCTCGGTGGGTGGCCGCGGGCCAGATGATCATCGGATGTAGATATCGCCCGTCAGCACTCATACACTCGACTGCTGTCACGGTCGTCCGCTTCACACGTGCGCCTCGGCAGCCGTGCCGGTTCGTTCTATCCATGATGACCCTCACAGAATTCAGCTTCGACAGCATTACACCCGTCTCGTCCATGTTGTACACGTTCTCCTGTAAGACTTCCGGGTTCTGTAGCACACCGGCGATCACGTCAAACCATTGCACCACTTTCTCATAGATGTCAAAGCGGTTCCAGTCCATCGCGCTGCTCTTGCCAGCCTT